CTGGGCGAGCTGGAGTTCACCGGCCATGGCGAGCTCGGCCCTCGCCAGTGCCAGCGATGGCCAGCCAAGCCGCCGGCGAGCTCGAGGTCGCCCAGATCTCGCCGAGGTCTGGGTGAGTTGGAGCTTGCCGGCCATGGCGAGCTCCGCCCTCCCCGCCGGCGAGCTCGCCCGGATCTCGCCCGGATCCGGGCGACCTCGAGCTCGCCGGCCATGGCGAGCTCGGCCCTCGCCCGATCTCCGGCGAGGGCCGCCAAGCCGCCGCGAGCTCGGCCCTCGCCGGTCTCGGCGGGCCGGCCAAGCCGCCGGCGAGCTCGAGCTCGCCATGGCCGACGAGGCCCGGATCTCGCCCACATCCGGGCGAGCTCGAGCTCGCCGGTGCCGGCGAGCCGGCCCGCGCCGCTGGCCGGGGCTGAGCTCGCCATGGCCGGCGAGCTTGACCGGCGAGGCTAGCCCGCCTGTGCGTCGGCGAGGTTGACCGACGGCCATGGCCAGGCCACCGGACCTCGCCCCATGGCCGGCGATCGGCCAAACCAGTGAGGAAAGGAAAAAAAAAATTTTAATAACACCAACAAATACAAATCCAGCGAAGAATAATTTTGCGACGAACCGTTTTCGTCGCCAATTATTCATGAAATTAGCCACGACACTTACCGGCGAAAAAGCTTTACCGAGATTGATTTGCGCGTGCACCGATAAGTAAATCGAGAGAAATTAAAGAGAGAGACGGAGAGAGAACAGCGAGGGGATAAGAGGAATCAGTCGACAGAGAGAAATTAGGGGTCGGGACAGATATCAAATACATCATTTTTCGTATTGCAAATTTGCCACGAATAAAATTCGTCGGAAATTTCCGACGAAAATTTTTTCGTCGCAAAAATTCGTTGGAAATTTGTGACGAAAAAAATTTCGTCGCAAAAATTCGTTGGAAATTTGCGACGAAAAAATTTTCGTTGGAAATTTGCAACAAAAAGTTCCACGAAAAATAAAATCGTCGGAAATTTCTGACGAAAATTTTTTCGTCGGAAAATTTCGTCGGAGATTTCCGACGAAAAGTGCTTCGTCGGAAAATTTCGTCGGAAATTTCCGACGAAAAGTGCTCCGTCGGAAATTTCCGACGAAATTTTCCGACGAAAAACGAAATTTCCGACGAAACATTTTTCGTCGGAAATTTCCGATGAAATTTCCGACGAAGCACTTTTCGTCGGAAATTTCCGACGAATTTATTTTTCGTTGGAATTTTCGTTGCAAATTTCCAACGAAAATTTTTTCGTCGGAAATTTTCGTCGGAAAAACCCGGTTTTTTTGTAGTGCACGTCGCGAGACAAAAGCAAATATCAATACTTTGCCACTATTTTTTTTTTGGAGAGAGTAAAAAGCAAAATCATGGATCAAGATAATTTTTTGCTTAAAATCACAAAGATCTATATGCTTTCCTAAAAAAAAGTAGTATGTAAAACCTTCTTCACCTCTCGTAAGTTCGCAATTATATCTTTTCTGACCTTGCTTTATTTTGAGATTGAACAACAGAGTTTGGACCCTTGTAGAAATAGACTACTTCTCTTTCATCGATTGTGAGGATCAATGCCAAGGAACGTTTGGAAACTAATGTAACCGTCATTTCTCAATTTGTGAAAATCAATGCATTTCTTGAAGTTGTTTGCAACATAAATTATGTATACACAATTTTAAGTATCTTGTACCAAAACTTTAAAAACGATCACTTCAATTTTAAAAACATTAAGAACGATCACTTCAGTATTAAAAACTTCATGAACAATTAATTTAGTGTCAAACCATTTTAATAGTGTGCATTTAAGTGAATCCTGTGAGCCGCATTTGATTTTTCATCACTAGAATTACTTAAGTGATCGTTCTTTAAAGTTATGGCCCTTAAATGATTTTTGAAAATTTTTGGAAATAAAATTGGCGTTGTACAATATTTATGGGATGATGCCGTCCTTATCCTCAAGAACTTGAGTCCACTTCAAATTGATGAAGAGATGGATCTTCCCACCAGGATCGTAGAGACTCGTATATAAAACTTTTTATAATAAAAGCATGTACTGCTTCCGCAAAACAGTCCTTCCAAACTTCTCACAAATTTTCGTTATATGGTCCGTTGACTTTTTGCAAATAGGTTCTTCTGAGCAAATTTACGTCATCATATTCTATAGACATTAACTTTCTCTTGGTCCATTGAAGCTTTTAACGGATCCTTGTTCAACAACTTGTTCTCCTTTTACAAAGGTCGTTTCAGATTTAGACACATTTCCTATCCAATAGCTTGTTCTCCTCGTAAAGATCCGAAGCCTTTCCATGTTTTAGATGTCCTGTTGTTGACACGTTTTGTATATGCCTTGCACAATTGAAAGTTATTTATTCTACCTTCTCAAATGCACATATTGGCAATCTTTGATTATTTGTCATTGTCAAAAATCATAAGGGGATTTTCTCAACAGATAATTATCGAAAGACGCTAAGAATAGTTGCGCAAAGAGTTTATAAAAATGATGCTCCATGTAAAATACTTTTGTTTCTTCCAAATTTTGCTTAGCTCTAACTCCAAAAATATCTAATGAAAATAGACGTGATTTGTCTTTACATCTGGCATTGACTGACATTATTTTGTGTCTATATATTTTAAGACTTGTAGATTCATCTTTTTATGTCAATATTATTGATTTTATTGCTACATCGAAGCAAAACCTTTACTTATTCTCAATGCGTATGTTTATTGTTTCGAAAGGATCTTCCATTCCAAATTGAATATGGAGGAACGAAATCACTACAAAAAAACTAGGATTTTGCCACGAAAACTAAATTCGTCGGAAATTAGCGACGAAAAATTTTTCGTCGCAAATTTCCGACGAATTTTGGCACGGAAAGTTATTCGTGGCAAATTTCCCACGAATTTTGCCACGAAAATAGTATTGTACATTGTACAATATTTTCGCCGAGACTTGACTTTTGTGGCAAAATTCGTGGCAAATTTGCCACGAAAATAGAAACACACAAAAAAAAGGGTAAAAATTCTCGAATTTTGCCAGAAAATTTTTCTGGATGTTGATCTTGCTTGTGGGTATAGCTTTCATCATTTTGTATATTAGAGAGAAACTTGCCTGGCCAAGAATTATTATATCCGTGCCATTTAAATATCATATTATATGGTCGACAAAATCAACAAAATTATATAATAAAGGGCAAAAAAAAAAGCGAATTGAAACGTGTTTCCCGAAATACACACAAAAACAAAATCCACGAGCCGAAAAAGAAAATGCTGCTGCTTCTCTTCAGTCCTCTCTTCCTTCTTCTTCTTCACTCGATGTCGCTCGCGACGAAAAACGGGTGAAGTGCGGCAGAAGATAACGACACAGTTCTCTACTTCTCGCCTCGCGCCGAGAGCTCGACATTTTCCTCCCTTCCCCCTGCTGCTACGGGAGCTTCGAGGCGCGCCGGCTCGGCTCGGCTCGGCTCGGCCCGGCCGCTGAGGATGCTGGTCTCCCGGCGAGCCTCGCCGCGGTTCTTCTGCTCTCGCCGTGCCGCCTCCGCCGCCGGATCGTCCTTCGATTAACTCCCCCTGGGCGGAGCTCGTGGTGCCGCTTCTCGCCGTTGCCGCCGTTGCCGTCGCGGCTGCTGCTGCTCGGCGCGCGATCTCGCCCGCTGGTGGAATCCTCGCAGATCTGGCGCCGTCGGTGATGTCGGTGCTCCAGCGGTTCTTCGCCGGAGGTAATAGAGATTTGCTCCGATTTCTTAGTTTCGCCTGTTGCTTTGATTCTGACGAGACTGTAGTCTCCTCGAGTGGCTTGATTCGATGCTGAATGTTTCGGGTCATTGGGAGTTCGCGCTCGGGAGAGGCAATGGACCGTGTTGGTTTTTCAATGCCTAGCATTTGACTTTGCTCTGGTTCTTCAGAGGAACGAGAGCGGAAGCAGGCTGGCAAGTCACTAGTTTCAGTAGGAAGATAAACTTCGCAACATTTTCAATCGTGTACGTGTTTTCTGACAGAATCCTTCGGGTTCGGGGGCCTGTTAGAAGCTTTAGTTGGCGACACGATTTAGATTAATAGGTAACTTGTGTTTGTGCGGGAGTTCGAGTTGAACTAACCCAAATTTCTGAATTTCCCGTTTATGCGAGACCTCTAATCTGCGTGCACCAGGAGTTTCAAGGAGCGACTCGAAGTAAAAGATCCGTTCCCACCACACTTGTTTTTGCAAACCTATTTTCCTTTTAATTGAGAGTTTGGTCCTTGAGCAATCTCGATTCATTGCATGCTCAATTTCGTCACGAGTGCGCATAAATAGACAAATCCGACTTTTGACATCATCCCGCTTCTGTCGACATGGAGTGGAAGTGTAGTTGACAGAAGCATTCACTTGTTGCATGGTAAGTTGCTGACTAAAAACGATTAGAAGGTGATGCCGTTTCAACTGGTTCCAGTGGCCTTGGTCAGAGCATTTATTGAAAATAATCCCATAAGTTGGGTAAGCTGTAGCATTTACTTATACCCATTTTGAGCTCTCAAGTATTGACTCAATGAGCTTGTGATCTTTGATCACTAACCTAAGACGCCTTTACAACTTGCTATGCTCACTCTGTAGGACTAGAAAAGCCTTATGGTTTCCAGTAGATCCAAGACAAGCTTCATTTGTTGTTGGTGTCCTCCACTGGCTATATTGGACAAACAACATTCTGTTGAACACTGAGCTCAATGGTCGACCATTCAGGTGTTGAATCAATATTTAATAAATGCCTTCAAAAATGCCTAATGAATGAGAGACATGTGGGTGTAGTATCACTTTGTCAGTCACTTGTTGGCAAATACTATCTGACACATTCCAGAGTCAGGTTATCTATAATTTGTTCCAGAAAAAGAAAAGAGTTAACACGATCGTGTAGCGAATTAGCCACAGGTTATTTCCATGATTATTGCGTTGGATTTTGTTAAATTTGACTTCTCTTGGTTCTCAAATTGCAGGAAAAAGGATTGATGTCTAACGGTTGTTGCTGAAACTGATCGTCATCTCCTGTCATGTTATTTTCATCATATCTGCTGATTCAAACTACAATTCTGTTCAAGCATCACCAATATCTCCGAGTGCCACCGTGAGCACTCCTGCTATTCCTGATCTTTCCCCTCCAAAGAAGTTACCACACGGACAATGGCGGAGACATATCTCTCCTCAGGCTGCACCTGCACTTGTTTTGTCGCCAGATCATTCACCTCATTATGACCCCTTGATAACTTCTGGTCACCCCCCAACAAGTTCACGCTTGTCCAAGCCATCAATGAAGAGGAGCAGCTTGGTGCCTCCAAGTGCCAGCCTGGCTGATATTGCCCCAACTCAATCCAGTCCTGCTACAGTTCCAGCCACATTGGCTGAGCCACCGCTGTCACGTAATGTCTCAAGTACGTTGCATCCTCGATGCACTCTCCTATCGCTATCTAGTAATTGTCTCTCTCAAAGGTGGGTTTGATAAATGATAACGATTGGAAAGATGCTAGAGTAGTCGTTGATTGTTTTATTACAATATGGCATCGAAGTGATGTTGGGGTAAACAAAATAAATTGGCAACCGGTCCTCTTTGCCTTCTCTTCTTCTATTCAGACTTTTATCATTGTGAGCTAATTGACATTATCATGTTCATTCACCCCTGCTTTTGACAGATTGTTGCCAACCCAACATGGTGCTAAAACGGGGCAGCGAAGGTCGCCATTGTGTTTATCCCATAAAGCTTGACCTTCTGCTGCTAAATGTATCTCAAAATCGTGATGGGAATGTTTTTCTCCAAGAATTTGCTTCTCAGCTGGGCTTGCAAGTTTCTCAAATACAGTTGATAAATTTTTATATGCTCAGCTTTACAAGATTAAATATATCAGTGGATATTACTCCGCAAACGGGATTGAGTTTCTCAGCTAGTGATGTATATGCAACCAACTCTTCCCTCTCTTTACATCGGGTTCGTCTAAGCCCTGCGCTGGTGGTTGATTATGAACTTTTGAACATCACTTGGTTCAAGGCACCTCCATCTTCTGAAGGTAAACCCCGCCCAAGGCACCTGTTTCTCATGTTTGTATCAACTCCGTATACCTTCTAGATATCAAAGAGTTGAAAATGCTCCAATTCCCTGTTTGAATAATCATGGAAGCTTTCTGAAGTTTGATTGCCATTGTATGGTCTAGGCTTACAACAGTGATTATGTAAAAGGAAAATCTAAAGAAGTGATTTGAGTGTATCCGGGTTCTTTGGAAACCGTTAAGAAGTTCAAAGAAGATTCTTTGGCAAAATAACCTTTTAATTGCCACGAATTTAGCCACGACTTTTGTTTTCGTCGCAAATTACCAACGAAAATTGAAATTTTTTATTGCAAAAATTCGCGACGCGACGAATTTTTTTTTGTCCCTAATTTCGTGGGGAATTCGTTGTGCCACGAATTTTGCCACGAATAATTAGCGACGAATTTAGCCACGATTTTTACAACAAGTAATTAGCGATGAATTTTGCCACGAATTTTGCAACGAACTTTGCCACGAATTTAGCCACGAATTGATTTTTGTCGCAAATTACCAACGAAAATTCAAATTTTTCGTCGCCAAAATTTGCGAAAAAAAATTTGCCACGAATTTTTTTGTTCGTCGCTAATTTTGTGGGAAATTCATTTTGCCACGAATAATTAGAGTTGCCACGATTTTTGCAATGAATAATTAGCGACGAATTTTGCAACGAATTTTACAACGGATTTAGTCACGAATTTATCTACGAATTTTGCCACGAATTTGTTTTCGTCGCAATTTACCAACGAAAAATTTAAATTTTTTGTCGCAAAAATTTCCGATGCCGAATTATCGACGAATTTTTTTTCGTTGCTAATTCGTCGGAAATTCGTTTTGCCACGAATTTTGCCACGAATAATTACCGACAAATTTTGCCACGATTTTTGCAACGAATAATTAGCGACGAATTTTGCAACGAATTTAGCAACGAATTTAGCCACGAATTTTGCCACGAATTTTGCGACGAAATTTGTTCGTCGCAAATTACCAACGAAAATTGAATTTTTTTGTCACAAAAATTTGCGACGACGAATTACCGACAATTTTTTGTTCGTCGCTAATTTCGTTGGAAATTCGTTTTGCCACGAATTTTGCCAAATTTTTCGTGGCAAAACCCTTGTTTTTTTGTAGTGAATACTGACCAAAAACTAGTACTAATGTTTCCATTCATATAAAGAATTTTCCACTAAAATTGCGATATGACCAACCCACATGCAACCCACCTATTCCAAAAACTAGTATAATATGTCTTATCCTTTTTCATATGACAAGAAACAATTTGTGTAAATAATAACTAGAAGAAGTGGAGAATTGCCTAAATGATCAATCCAACAGAGTTTACATTCAACGTCCTGTCAACATAAAACCTCTCATAATTCCCATCCATAGATCTTAAGAAGTCTCCAAAGCGTTTCACACAAAGAAAAATTTAATCATTTTTTCATATAGCCTTTAAAGTTGCAATCCCTCAATTTCTTTGAGCCTGTTTGTTTGAACTTCTCATTAGGGAAAAAAAAAAAACAGAAGCAAAACGCACTTATTAGCCTTCCTGCTGAAACAGTAAATTATTATTGAAATTTCAATTTTCACCCATACATCATATCTCAACTTGTGTGTCGATATATTCATTTTGTGAGTGTTTTAAGCGTTTTAGATTAGAAAAGGTCATAGTGTTTGAATGGCAAGATGTAAAATGTAATAGTCAATTCATAAAGATACTTCTCTTTCATGTATCAATTTATAAGAAAAAATTCCATTTTTATTCAAAGCTTCCTTTTACACAGCGGAAAGCACAAATGAAATTCAAGCACATTACTTTTCCATAAGCCTTTATTGCCGTTCTTGCCAATCCTACTTTACCATTTTCATCAATAATTATGTTTTGGACATTTCAATCCTAAAACTCGAGTGCCAAGGGGGACCGCGTACGCTGCGTACACACCTGTTTGAACTTGAGTCTATCGTGACTGTCAATTATGCAGGCCGCCCATGTGGTTCTCACATGATCAACGGCCGCGATGCGTTTCTGTTCTCATAGCTTGGTCAGCGCCCATCATAGTTGTCCACACTTTCTTCCAATTCCATGTGGTCCATCCATCCGACACCACCGCTTATCCTAGCATTTCACAAGCACCGTCTCCAAATAAAAGGACGTGAAACAGTACGCTGATGTCGGTCGATGCAAAGTAATCATTTTATTACCAACGAGAATAAAAATACTATCTTATTGGAGCAATCGCCATTCATCAAGAACGGCTAGCTAAATCAATCGATGAGAAAAGAAAAAGATTCGCTCTTTATTTGGGCAGAGGAGGGATGCTCTGCTCGTTCCTGAAGAAGTTGGTGGGATCAGCCGCAGTTTTCACTTTGACCAACCTCTCGAAATTGTCATTGAAGTAACTGACCCCGTAAACTCGCCCTTCCTCGTAGCTGTTCTTGCCATTGGTGCTAGTCCCAATGTCCAGGTCTCTGTAGTTCAAGTATGCACTCCTTGGTTTCTTTGACACGAATGGAGTCATGAAACTGTGCAGACTCCTGGCTTGCTCCAAGTAATTCTTCTCCAGTTCCGGGTCGTCCTCGCTCCAATTGATGGAGTACTGAATCTTGAACAGATTCCCTGCCCGGTGCGGGAACGGGGTCGCCGACGCCGGGATCTCGCTCATCCGTCCCCCGTATGGATTGAACACGAACCCCACTTTCCCCAGTTCGATCATCTTCTTCCAGAGCAACTCGAGATTAGCCTTAGAGATCGGAGTTTGGACGTAGTCCGATTTCCTCTTGAGGAAGTTGGTGCTATCGACTCGGCTCAGCAAGGTCTCCGGGGCCGGGATGCTGCCGCTGTCGAAGCCGTCCCACCAGAGAACTGACTGGATCCAACTCAACTCCGTGCAATTCTCTTTCTTTAACCCCATTTCGGGTAACTCCTTGTCGGTAATTGCCACGAGCTGATCTGAATTTCCCAGGAACAATGCAACCACTGAGGCCCTTATCGTTTTCTGCCCCTTTTGGGTCTTGGAAGTGACTGGCTGCAATAGAAGCCTCATGAATAGGCCGTGGTCAGTGCTCGGAGCCACGGATTGCCATTTGTACACGAGATCTGTTGCCTGCTGATCGAGCGTCTTCTCGACGCGGAAGACCGTGACCTTCTCCGGGACCGGGACTAACTTAATCTGATAAGCCAGAACGACTCCGAAGCTCGCCCCACCTCCCCCGATGATCGCCCAGAACAAATCCTCTCCCATGGCTTTTCTATCGAGAATCCGCCCCTCGACGTCCACCATCCTCGCGTCGAGGATGTTGTCGACCGACAGGCCGTACTTCCGCAGCATGTTGCCGTACCCGCCGCCGCTCAGGTGGCCTCCGACGCCGACAGTTTGACAAACTCCGGCAGGGAAGCCGTGGACCTTGCTCTTCTCCCAAATCCGGTAGTACAGCTCTCCCAGAGTCGCGCCGGCCTGGACCCACGCCGTCTCTCCCTGGACGTCCACGTCGATCGACCGGAGGTTGAACATGTCGAGGATGAAGAAGGCATCGTCGGAGACGTACGATATGCCCTCGTAATCGTGCCCCCCGCTGCGGATCTTCAGGTGGACGCCGAGCTCCTTGGAGCACAGGACGGCGGCCTGCACGTGGGGTTCCCGCGTGGGCGTCACGATGACGAGCGGCTTCCGCGCCGACGACGAGTTGAAGCGGCGGTTACGGATGTAGGACACGAGGACGCTGGCGAAGGAGGAGTTGGCCTGCGAGTACACGATGTCGGAGACGTGGTCCGACGGTTGAGTGCGGTTCGTGAGGCACCGGAGGAAGGTGTCGTACGCCGAGTCCGAGGCTGCCCATGAAGGAGGGAGATGGAGAGATGCGAGGATGAAGAGGAGGAGAGCAAAGAGGGTAGGAAGAGAGGCCAATGGCTTCATTCCTTCCTGCGTTTTCTTGATGTAAAACTGTCTTTTTGTGGGGTTGTGATGGAGGTTCGGTGTCTATATACCTATATATTTATAAGCCTAACTTTTGAGAGGAAAGTTCGGAGGAAAATCGTCTTGAGATCATATCGAATTATCATTACTTCCCTTTTTGCGTTTTGTTAGCAATATGTATTTACAAAAATTCCTATTAAGGCCATATTTTCTTTAAGAAAACCTAGTCTTTATTTTTTTTAGGAAAAATATCACAAAAAATCCCAAATTATGTCATTTGTGACAAATTTACCTTGAACCTTTTTTCGTGACACGAAAAATCTCAAACTATGCCACTTGTGATAAATTTACCCCGAACTTTTTTTGTAATACGAAAAATCTCAAATTATGCCACATGTGACACATTTACCCCACAATACTTTGGCCCATAGGCATTTTCGTCTTTTTCCTTTTCCTTTTTTTCTTTTTTTTCTTTTTTTCTCTCTTCCCTCCGCCGGCGAGGGCTGCCTTCACCGGATCCGACGAGGGCGACTCTCGCCGGCGTCGAGCGAGGCTGCCCTCGCCCCCCCAAGTGAGGGCGACTCTTGCTCGACACCGGCGAGGGTCGCCCGACGTCGGCGAGGGTTGCCCTCGCCGGATTCGGTGAAGAAAAAAAGAAAAAAAGAAGAAAAAGGAAAAAGATGAAAATGCCCATGGCCCAAAGTATTATGGGGTAAATGTATCACGGGTGGCATAGTTTGGGATTTTTCGCGTCACAAAAAAAAGTTCATGATAAATTTGTTACAAGTGACATAGTTTGGGGTTTTTGGTGGTACTTTCCCTTTTTTTATTTACCAAACTAATTCAAAATATTATTTGAATAAAAATTGCTGGTAAGTAGTCTTCAATTTGAAAGATGAATTTTTTTTAACAAATAACAAAATGAAGTCGGGGAAAAAAATGAAATTCAAGAACGAACCTAACGGAATATTCTCTCTCGAATATGGTGCTAAAGGATTTGGGATAATTTGACACAAATTTGAAAGGTTGGATATTGTTATGATAGGACAAAAATATCGGGATAAAATTAAAAAATCCTCTAAAAGGTTGAGATTTATTGTCAATTTTGGCTCCACCCAATTGACAATGAAGTGTTCAGTGTTATCGAAACCTTTTTCTTTTAGCATAAAAACTAAAACTAATAATTCTCGCTTGAGGTGGCGATCGCGCGAGTTTACTTTGAAATATTTCAGGTGTATTGATCCCGTGACAAATTTACTCAATAAACAGGTTAAAAATAGAATCAATATATTTGGTTTTTAATTTTAGTGTCTAAATAAATCCTTGAATTTATGCTGGAAGGATATATTTAATAGTTTTTTTAAAATTTTCTTCTTTTCCGTACATCACACATTTGACCAAGAGAGTGTTGTCCGTGCCGGCAGATTCTTATACTAATTGGATTGGCTGCCTTTCAGTTTTGCTATCTTATAACTATGGGCGGATGGGCTTCCCATACCAAAATATAAGTCAAATAAATTGGCCAATTGATGGGGCTACAATATCTCGCCATGGTGGTTGATTTTGGTGAATTTTTCATATTTACTATATAAATGTTGCGATCCGTACATTATGACACTTTTAAATTCAAAATTATTGAAACTTTCACAATACCCAAATGTTAGACATGTAAAATCACATGTAATGTTTTCAAATTTAAGAAATAATTTATATTTTGAAACAAAAAAATGTTATTTGCCACTGTTGCTTAAATGTAAACAGAACCTTGGACATCGTTTTCTCTGGAGAAAAATCTCCAATTTCGAAAGGTCAAATACCAAGAAAATTCAGCTGGAGATATTTGTCCAGATTTGTTGTCGTCCGTGTCCTTTTCTTTTCAGATGTGGACACGCTGAACATAGGAATGTGCCAAAAAAAATTAAATTAAAATTCTCACGCGTCTAGAAAAGGGGGAAAGAAAAAAAAATGCGATAGGCAAATGCACAGTAGATAATGGTTCGAACATGCGCTTCTCTCAACCTTTCTAGTAAGAGACAATGATAAAAATGGACCATGAATTTTGTGATCCCCGAAATTTTAATTTATTTAATGTGATTCTTGGATTTTTTGTACATGCTCAATGTAGTCCGCAAAATATATAAACATATTCAATGTAGTCTTTGATTTTGAAATAATTGAAAAACCGCGTTGAATATCTCAAATAGTTCATAGACTAAATTGAACATGTACCAAAAGTTCAAGGACAAAGTTCATGCATCACATTACACATTTGGTCAAAGTTCATGCACCACATTGCATATTGGGTCAAAATTCAGGGACTATTTATATCATTTTTCCTTTTCCTAATGGTGAGGATCAAATGATGTCAAACTTGAGATTTTTCTTTTGGTGCGATGAAGGAAATGGAGTATCCATAGCAATTCCAAAGCCCTTAAATTGATTGGTGAAGTATTGGGAAAAAAAAAAGAAGACATTTGAGATTTCGGATCCTTTCGATTAGATTAATTTCGATAGTACTAGGTTCTTCTCACAAAAGTCCTTATTCAATTTCCAACCTCAACTCCGTGCTATATCAGAAGATCGAAATCAAAAGTGAACTATACAACTCATAGAAAATAAAACCGTAGTAAAATCATAAAGTTCATTTAAGTAATGTTGTAATTATGAAGGGTTAATGAATCAACGAATGTGACCAAAAACAAAATACGGCTCTTCAGTTCATGTATCTCTTGGATTTGTGTATCTACTTAATTCATGTATCTCTTGAATTCATGTGTCTTTTGGATTCGTGTATCTACTTAATTCATGTATCTCTCGAGTTCATGTATTTCTTAGATTCTTGTATCTATTTAATTCATATATCTCCTGTATTCTTGTATATATATAATTCATAGTTCATGTATTGCTTCTATACATGAATCCTAAAACTTTATAAATAGAGTTGAAATTCTTCATTTAAAGCATCACCAAAAAAAATCTACATCTCCTCACTTGAAATTTCTCTAGGTGTAATGGTTTCAATAAGTGTTTGACAGAATCCTATTTGCATAGTGTTAACTCAAACTGGTTTGAGGTATTGTCTTTTGGGAGACATAGTTCGTGAAGCCGCTTAGCACTGTTGGTAGGAAGTAATCGCCTTAAGGAAATTCGGTTAGCTATACCTCACCTCTTGTTTATTTTTGTTATCGCTTTCTAGGATTTATTGTTTTTTTTATTACAACAAATAGTGTTGCTGTATCTTCTTCCCCCATTACGTAATTTGTCTTTTCTTCTTCATCTTCAACAAGTAATCCCACGTTGAGGTGATATTCAACTTATACTTTCTTTCCTGGAATGAAAATTTCGCATACAATATTTTTAAGCTTAATTTCTTCTCAAATACGAATACAAATTATACAATATAAGTTTTTTTTGGTCAATAATATAAGTTATAAACTACAGTTGATATTATCTTTAGAAATTTTTATTAGCTTTATTATTATGTGAATGTCTTTATTCATTGCAATTCAATTGCTACATCGTGTGAACATAACTTTCACATGTGAGATTTTGTGGAAGTAGTGCGAACTATTCTAAAAATTAAAGATATTAGATAAAAACTTCGTTTAATAATTAAATATTTTAACATGTAATTTGGTATAAGCCTAAGCATGGAAATATGTCATTGAGGAGGCAAACGGAGGTATGAAAGAATTAAACTCAAGATTTCCTACTCTGATACCACGTGAAATTTTGTGAGACTATTGCCAACTGTTTAAAATTTTAAATTATTATATGAATGTGTGGTAAAATATTTAAATATTCTAACACCATAGAGTCAAATTTTGATTTGTATCTTGAAACAACCTCGTGACAGTCTATGTCTTGAGCATTTACTATAGCATATGAAGAAACTTCGTGACTTCTGACAAGTTTGTCAACCTTAGATCTTAAGTTCTGGATGTAGTAGTAAATACAGCTCATTGCGGACCGTCATGATTACAATCAGAGGGTTATTTATGCTGATTGCCGCTCTCCACTTTTTTGTCAATAAAAAAATTTATATTTGCAAGCAATGAAATGTTACAACAGCAAATGATCCAAAAGGCTACTTTTTGCAACATTTGGTCCAAATTGCAAAAGTAACTCTTTTCAGGAGTTTAGTTCAAAAAACTCATGCAGCATCATCTTTAAAGAATTCAATGGACCACATGCCTTCGCATAATTGAAAATGTAGCAACTATAAACAATGGCTCAAATTGAATTTCCAATCCAACCAAGTGAAAATTTGTATTGGATCATGATTTTTTCCAACCATTCTATTTAATTGACGAGTTACACACATGGCCGACACTTACATCTAAATTTCATTAAGTTTGTTTGTGGGTAACTTTATAACTCATAATCAACCAATCAAAGATATGATTGGCGAGATAGAGGAAAATATAGCCTATTTATAAATGTTTTATAGAGAAAGTAAGTAGCTCCTCGAATCTCATCAGTTGATCTTTCTAGTTTGCATGGCGACTTCTTAACGAGGAAAATGAAGATGATCCTAATCCTGAAAGCAAAATCTATTCAATCCTCAGATGGAGCACATGACCACTTGTTATCCATTTGATGGAAAAAATAGGGAAACGTGGCCGGGACATTTGATAATTAGCGCGCGTTCAGACCCTCCTTTAGATAGTGGTAAAATTTGTGGTTTATGTCGTGATTTTATGACACAAACTGATTGTCTCAATTTAATCTCCGTACCTTGGTATACCATGAAATAACATCATTTTTCTTATTAAAAAAAATTCACCTGATGCTTTTTGATAACTTATTTCGTGAACATGTAATTCATTTCAACTTGAAAAGATTCGCATTATATAGACCTGTCAAATGATTGAGTTGAATTGGGTTTGAGTCAGGTAATAAATAGTTCGATCCAAATTGACCCATATAACTTGTTTATGACCTAATTATTGCTATACAAATTTCTCGACTTATACCTAGGAGTGAGCGGTTCCCGGTCCGGTCCGGTCCTACCCAAGAACCGGGAACCGGACCGAGAGGACCGGTTCCCATTTTCTAGGA